AGCTTCCCAATAGAACCCGAGACATTTCACCTCACACGGTCGAATCTCTCCAAACCTCATCGGTGCAAAACGTAGGAGAGACCGTTCCACTCGCCACACGAAATGGACTTAATTCGATTCCATTCGATCCCTGATCTCTTGAACATGTTGTGAGACCCGGTAAGAGAAAATATTCTTTCTTCGGAAGTATCTTTCTGATTAAGTTCCAGTTTCTTGGCCTCTTTCTCGCAATAGGCCTCAACTCTTCCTCAGCTTGACAAGAAGAGGCTGCTGGAGTTGTGGTTTGGCTGCTCGAGTTGCAGGCTCTTCCAGGCTTCATCCTTTGGCGCAAGAACTGTGCGGGAATAAACGATGAATTGTTCAGCCTGTGCTGGGCTAGGCGGTTAGGCTTCAAACCCGCTGTGGCACTTTCAAGTTCAACAAATCTTCCTCACAGATTTGAGAAGCTGATGCTAGATCTTGGAAGAGCGCTCACACGTCGGATGCCTCCAATGGAACATCTTGCAGCTGGACAACCTGGAAGAACAGCGTGAGCAATGCGAAACACAGTGATCGAGTGGGTGTCCGTGATCGAGTCCCTCACCTTCTCATAAAGCTCGAGGACTCGATCGCCATACCTGGACGAAGATTCCGGCTTCGGTTTACAGGTCGGGTTGACTTTTTTGGGCTCGACCTTGGTCGTTTTCGTGCCCGTGCCCTGCGCCTACTTAGTCAATTCGCTCCGGGTGGATAGCTCACGCTTCAAGGGAGCTCCTGCCTGAGGGGCGTCCTTGAAGCGGTTGCACAAATGACTTGGTTCCTAGATCTTTAGGGACACTTAACTTCTCAAAAGGTCTATATAGTAGCTTCTTGTGCAAAACCGTCTTCCTCCCCCTGGAGTCCCAACTCCTAGTAGCTTTTTGTTACTAGTAGCTACTTGCTCCTAGTAGCGATGCCAGGAGCCCCTAGCCCTAGTAGCGAACATTCTTCCTTCTCAAACAACCAATATCTCCATCTTGAGCGCATCTGGTTGCGACGCCGACAACCGACTCTGGACCTCTTTCTGTTGGGACCTGACGCAGAACCCACCAGGTTGACTTGCACCCCACAGGTTCAGCAACCACATGTACCTGTTGTAGGAGGAGGTCGTGATCGTTTGACTCTTCAAAAGCCTTGAAACTGAAGCCCATGGTCAACAATCTGTGTGGTTGTTGAGTCAAGGACAGCCGGGGATGCTTCCCGGAAGATCGATATGTCCGACACTCAATGTCAAACAATAAGAACAATTATCAAACTGCGAGCTGTTCAAAGGACGTTTAAGTCCAAGCTACAGAAAATTGAAACCGTCTACGCACCAAGCTAGCAGTCTATAGACTCAAGACAATATCATCATCACTCAGCTAGTTTGTCAAATAGCTTCTCATCACTCACCTGACTCAACAGATAGCCACCTCAGAATTTCCACAGAAAAGCCTGCAAGACTGGTGACTTATCGAAAAGAGGATAGAAAAAAGGATGGACTTTAGGACTACCCCATTGCACTTACAACATTGCACGTCGCCACATCACAAAACACCATGCATGATATGACCACATTGTTCTTCACATCAAAAAATAACCAAACGTCATATCACCACTACACAAATTCATTTGTTGCATGCAACAAATACACATCACATCGTCATGTTGCACATCGCACGCACAACACCACAACCTCTTTGATGTTTCTGGGGTCAAGAGGGGACAACAATGCGATTACGTGAAAAGATTTATCAGCCGCGTGAAAAGCATGTTGCGATGTGCGCAAACAGAAAAGGTGTCGAAGCACAACAGGATCCCTGAGAGCATGCACAAGCAGCATGGACAAACAGCGTGCAGCATTCAGCGCTATTAGGAGCAAGGACGCTACGAACGGGGCTCCTGGCCTTACTAGGAACAAGGAAGCTACTAGGAACAAGTGCATCGCTTCTAGTAACAAGTGCCTTACTAGTAGTAACAAGAAGCTATTAGAATTAAATTTAACTTTAAATTAATAGCTTTTTGTTGCTACTAGTAAGGCACTTGTTACTACTAGCGTGGCACTTGTTAGTAGTAACAAGAAGCTACAAAGGTCTGGTGAAGTTCGCCACGTCGGGACCATTCTTAGCTACGCGTCGGGACGATGCATCTCCATCTGAGAGATTTTCAGCGTTGCCCCGCTACAAATGGTGGAATTGGAAATTGTGGAAAGAAATAACACAACGGGTGGCAAATATTTACACATATCAAGACACTGGTCAACCACACCTCACAATGCGCAAAGTGCGCACGGTGCACACTGTCGTTCCGATTTCCGAAACGTCACACCTTTACTGAAGAAGCTCTTGTTACTACTAGCTTCTTGTTACTACTTGTTACTAGTAGCGTAGTAGCTTGTTGTTTCAAATAGCAAACATTGTTACTAGTAGTAAGGCACCTGTTCCTAGTAGCGTGGCACTTGTTTCTACTAGCTACTAGAAGCTCAATGGGCTCTCGTCAGGCGCAAACGAAATTTGGCGTCGCGTGGCGGCCGATAGCCACTATCTTTCTGAATGTCTGAATATGCAAAAAGAGAGCGAAGCCATGGCAATGTTTCTTGGTCTCATTAGTTGTCCTGCTTGTCTGTCTTGTCAATTTGTTGGCACTTGAGTATGTTTAGCCGCAGCTTCTCGCTGATACCAGCCACTCCCAAGATGGTACAATCCTGACACGGCAGTGGAATCCGGAAAAAAACAAGGCATCCCGACGGTGTGCCTGTGCAGCCCTAAGGATGCCTTCCAAGTTCTCAAAACGCCTGAAGAAGTGTCGAAGCGAAAAAAACGGAACCAAAGAGCGGATTTTTTCAAGCTCCACACTGAAGTAGAGCTGCCCCTTTCATTTGACCGATGCCCGGAACCTTGGTCGAAAGAAAACAGGAGCATCCTTGACTCCCAGTACAGCGATGCCCTTTGTTCCGTTCGTATTGTCCTTGCTCCTAGTAAGGCCAGGAGCCCCTAGTAGCTTCTTGTTACTACTAGTAAGGCACTTGTTACTAGAAGCGATGCACTTGTTCCTAGTAGCTTCCTTGTTCCTAGTAAGGCCAGGAGCCCCGTTCGTAGCGTCCTTGCTCCTAATAGGTCGCCCACTGGGGCGCCCACGCCAGGGATGACATCCACAGCGTCGCCCACTGAGAACGCCAAAGCGAGAAAGCCACACAAACCAGTAGGAAAGACTAGGAAGCTACTAGTTCTTTTCAGCATGTAGGAAGGTGACAGTTCGCTACTGGCCACGTAGGAAAGCGGCGGAACACTGCCGTCTCTGTTTGGGGGGGAAAGGTGACAGTCGCTTCGTGTTCAGTTCGGTCTTCACTGCGTTCCCTTCGGTTCCCTTCGGCTCTCGCTAAGTGAGAGGCGGAAACATAATGGTTTCTATTTTAATTAATTCTAATTAAACTTGTTTCTAATAGCTTCTTGTTACTACTAGTAAGGCACTTGTTACTACTAGATTTAGTACAAGTGGCTTATGCGAAATTGTGTTTCCGGGTTTCCGTCAACTCGTTGCACGAGAAAGCGAGTCCAACCTCTCCGTCTCTTGGGTCTGCACTCAATGCAAGCAGGTACCCCATTTGATCTGGTCGCACGCCCCATCTCCTCATCACCTACGACCGTTTTTTTGCCGCTCTGCCGAGCAAGGACGCTACGAACGGAGCAAAGAGCATCGCTACAAGGAGCAAGAGGACGCTACTAGGGGCTCCTGGGCTTACTACTAGGAGAGACTATCTACTTAGTAAGGGACAAACTAGATCGCCACTTGCAATAGGAAGTTCCTACCTACTGGACGCAGGATAGGTGACGCTGCGACGCTTCATTTGGTTCGATTATAGAAAACTGACGTCCTCAGTCTCTCCAGTGATCCGCCAATGCTCTCCATCTGGATCCACCGCAATAAGATTTACCTCACCAAGTTCCACCAAAAGATTTGGACAAGGAAGAAGACTACGAGCAAGAACGCTACTAGGAACAAGGGGCATCGCTACTAGGAGCAAGGACGCTACTAGGGGCTCCTGGCCTTACTACTAGGAACAAGAAGCTACTATAAACAAGAAGCTACTAGCAGAATTGGAATTAAAACTAATCTAAACCTGAGAAGGGAGGGGACGAAAGCCAGCCTCTGGCTTAGGGGTGCTCTCAGGGTAGGCTCGGGCAAAGACTTGGCGTGCAAGAGGAAGTGATGGGTTACATCGGGCAAAGAGGAAGTTCGTGGGGCGAAGTTGACATCGCAGCCACAGAGAGGAGGTAGAAATGGACAGTGGAAGATATAGGTCTAGGAATATCGAAATGAAAAGGGCATCCCTCAGGAAGTGAGGCACCCTTGCTGGCGGCGTGTTGCGAACCAGGGAGCAGAGACGGCAGCGGAGGTGCATGTGCGAAGCAAAGGGTAGGGTAGGTGAGGAGGTCCCCCTATACTTCAGGCAGACAAAAGTTTACGCTTGTTAGCCTTCTTACAAAACACTCTGAGGTCAGCGGCGGATCGAATTAACAAGTGAAATTTTCGTGGCAGGTGTGGGACGGTCAATTATCACACCCTTTTAAAATTATAATAATAAAAGGCTTTCCGGGGTGACAAATGACCGCCCACACCTTCCCTTGTCTCACGGTGTAGGATTCTAGGGGGAGGGTTGTCATGAGTTTCAACATCAAGAAGCGCAACTTTCTTCTGGCCAGTGTATAGACATAAGTTTGCAAGGTAGAGTGGAAAAAGAGCAGCCGGAAGTGCTGAGGTTGATATTGGAGTAAGATGAAGTGATAGGCTAACATTATGTAAAGAGTACGTGTATGGGGTGAAGTTGGCATCGCAGGTGCGTGATAGGAGCTAGAAAAGAAAGGTAGAAGTAAAAAGGGGGCGCCCTTTTTCGTCCTGGTTCAGGAATGTTTTGGAGGTGAAAAAGGGCACCCTCAAAGATTTCATGTGAGTTCGTCAGCTGCGTGTTGGTAATGAGTGACCAGAGACGGTCGTGGGCGAGGCTATCGGTAGTCTTTCGCACGGGCACAGGTATATATGGGTTTACGCCCCCGGAAATAAAGGAGAAGTCCATGAACATGTCCACCCCCGTTAGCTCCGGCTCAAAGGGTGTTGGTTGATGTGGGGGCACTCACCCGCGTGCCGGTGTGGCGTTTGCTTGACGCTACATCGGTTGTGTGCCCACATTGCGGACTTCACCCGTGAGCCAGGGTACATCGCTTTTGCCTCCGACCGCTTGAGAGTGGCGGCGGGGGAATTGTGCGACTTCATCGACTCTCGGCGGCGAGATCAGGGAGCTGGTGCGGCATCACCGGCGACCGGACTCCTCCCAGGGACTGGTGCACGGGAGTCCCCGGGGGTTCAAGGAGACGGTGGACTAGGAGCTGGACAAGCCAAGGAGGAGCCCGGCCGAGAGCCCGAAAGAGAGAGGTCATCGAGAAGAAGCACTGCAGAGGTCAAGAAAGAAAGAGAGGAAGGAGATCTGCCTGACAAGAGAGAGGAGAGCTTAGACCAGTCAGAAAAGGACAGCCATCCCAGTACAGCACCAAAGAGTTTGCCCAGTCCAAGAAAGTCAGAGAGATCGCCATTGCCCCGCCGAGAAGCCAAGAAGGAATCAGAGGAGGAGCTGGAAGAGAGTGAACGGGAGTTTGAGGCAGAGCTCACTCCTCACGAGGAGAAGAAGTCAGGGAGAAGACCAACAGGCGAGCCTAAGAAGAGTGAAAGGGAGAAGGAAGAAGAGACCACTCCTCACTCAGAGAAAAACCAAAAGAGAAGGCGGAGGACCAGGAGCCGATCGAGAAGGAGGAGACGCCGAAGCCCTAGCAGAGAGGGAGTTGAGAGAGAGGTTCATCACAGAAATCCGGGAGGAGCTTCATCAGCATCAAGGCGTGAGCCAAAACCCTCACAGCGTCCCGCCAACGACCCACCTGCCAGGTTGAGGCCGAGGTCACCGTCTCATCCCCCACCGTCCGGGCGAGGAGGTGGAGGTTCTTGGTCAGGGCAAAACTACGGTCGAGGACGAGGTTATTACGGGGGCTCAGATTGGAAGAACAAAGGGGTGAAGAAGGTGGAGACACAGAGGAGTTTCAAGGCCTTCCTCGCCCACCGAAAGGAGCACCTGGGGTAGGTGAATGGCACCCAAGAGAAGACCAGCCGCAGACGTGAGAGTTCGTGGAGATCGTCGTGTTCGAGTACGGCCAGCCGCAGCGGAACCTCCTGAGGAGCCCGACTTCTCAAGAGGAGGACTGGTGGAGGGGCATCGGGTGACAGTGGGAGAGCTGACACCTGGCACCAAGATCTTTGCGGAGGCCACTTATTGGGACAGGCCAGTGGAGGTTGCAGGTGAAGTCATTGGAGTCTCCTTGGTGGGAGGCCAGTTGGAGCTGAAACTGCAAGCTGGGGGGACGCCCGACGAGGGCCTCCTCAAGTGGCTATCAGGGCAGGAGGACAGATGTCTTCGGGCCCATCTATGCACATCGCTTTGCACGAACAGCCCGGTGGCCGACGACTACATACACTTGAAGAAGTTGAGGAAGTTGGAGGTGGCCCCACCCGCATGGGGCGAGAACTTGAAGGAGGCGGCAGAGAGCGAGACGCTCAGAAGGATGGCGGAAGAGTCCAGCAGGAGAGACAGAGAAGCACGAGGGAAAGAGTAGGCGGAGGTCGAGAGCCTGCAGCCGGAGGAGGAGCCGCCCCCGAAGAGTTGAGCAGTTCGAGCACGAGTTCATCAAAGAAAAAGAAAAAAGGAAAAAAGAAAAAGAAAAAGAAGAAGGGCAAGGCATTCAAGGTGCAGGGAAAGAAGGATTTGGTAAAGGTCTTCGAGTTTACAGGACTCGACCCCAAGCTCAAGAACCGCAAGAAGGTGATGAAGCGTGCACGAAGAGCCATGAAGCATCGCTCGAAGGAAGACAGCGGGGACTCCTCGTGCACCAGCACGGAGGGGAGTTCCAGCAGTGGAGACGAGGCCCACCTGTTCGAGGAGACGCACAAGATCAGGAAGGCTGCAATGAAGGGGCCTGGCGCCCTTTCGGCTCACACCATAGCGAGCATGTCCCGGTCCCTGCTCACGCACCAAGGCTTGCCGATCGAGATTCAAGATGGTCCGGTACCGTGCATAGCCCTCCAGTATCACAAGCAAGTTTTGTCGCAGAGGTTGTCCCCGCCGCTGTGCAGAGAGAGCTTGAATCTATGTGCAGCCACGGACGCCATTTTGAGTGGACAGGTGGCGCTGGGGGTAGACATACTCCTTCAGCGGTTGAAGTCGGTCGAGAGCTTGGGAGGAGGTCAGTCATGGGCAGCGTCACAGAAGTTGGAGTTGGCACCCCAGGAGGGAGTACAACTTGCAGGCGTCGAGGAGAGCAAGACGGCCAACAAAGAGCTGCGAGAGGAGTTGAAGAATCGACAGGCCACGCAAAGAACATGGGGGAAGAGCGACAAGGGCAGTTCAAAGAGCAAACAAGAGGAGGCAAAAGGGAAGACCAAGAAGGACAAAGGAGGAGGCAAGGACAAACACAAGGGGGAACGGGAGAAGGAGAAGTTGATTCTCCTCCCCCATACATGACAGAGGCTGAGGTTGAGGCAGAGCTCGAGGAGATGGCAAGGCTGGCTTCGCATGGGGCAGAACAGACCTCAAGAGTGCAGACAGATGACCTACTACAGTTGCAGATGCCGGATGGGAGTGGGAGACCCTATAACCACTCCTCGGTGGCCATTTTGGCCAGTACAGTGCCGGATGAGGATGCCGCCGAAGGCAAACCTACAACCAGTCCGCTTGAAGAGCGAACAAAGGAGGGAGCGGGCGGTTTTCGTTTCGTCGACGTCGTGGGGGACTTGACCAGGGACCTGTCACCTTTTCTTCGCAAGACCTTGACCAAGGGGGAGGTGTTTTCACTTCCCTGCGGCAGCTCCCTAGCTGGGCCCCCGTTTGACGTGTTGGAGACCGAGGTGAGAGAGGTTTTGAGAGGCATGGTGATGGCTCTCAACAGTGTGTATGATTGTGGTCCGCCCTTAAACCAACGTGTTTCACCATTGCATGAACGTATTCTTTTTCAGTTGAGTGAAGAGGCCCAGAGGTTCGTGAGCAAGACGGGAAAATTTGAGAAACTGTCGTGGCAAGACTTCCTTCGAGTGAGAAGCGTGGACTACAAGGGAGACGAGGTCAAAACCGCCCAGAGGACTTCGTGGGCACATGTGGCACCTGCGTTGCCGGAAGAAGTAGGCACAGTGGACTTGGAGCAAGTTGTAAGTGGAGGATGTTTGCACTATGTTCGGAACTTCACTCAATACTTGGTCCCCGAAGAGTCCCAGGTTTTCACAAAGGCCCCGAAGGTGATGATAGCGGACGAGGAGTGGGATTGCATGTGTGAGGGTTTGATGCAGCGAGGTATTTGTGGAGCCATTGCGGAGAGCCAGGTCCATCATGTGCAAGGCCGCCCGCTTTTAAACGGGATGTTTGGCGTTTTGAAGGAGGAAACGGCGCAGGGCCGAGAGGTTCACCGGCTGATCATGAATCTGGTGCCTCTTAATAAGCTGTGTAAAGGGATTGAAGGCGACGTATCAACCTGGGCCCAGCATGAGCTCCTTTTTCAGCCCACTGAGACCCTCCTGGTGATTTGTTTCGGGTACCGAATGGCAACCCTTTTTGGCCGAGAAAGATTCTACCTCTTTGGTCCTACCGGGGTTTTGCAGTGTGGCAGCTCAGCACATACACCGACAAGTGGTCAGCAGTGCTTTGGCAGAAGCTCGGAAGGAGGGCCTCCAGCACGGTTGGGAGGCGGAGCTGAGAAGAGATAGACCGCTGACTAGTGCAAACCCCTCTTATAGGATTTATTTGGACAACTTCGACCAGCTCGAGAAAGTGGACTCCAATCTGGCAGAAAGAATTAAGGGTACCCCTGCTCCTTTAGTGGATAGTTTGCGAAGCATGTACACAGACATGGCCATACCCCGTCACCCCAAGAAAGCGGTGGAGCGACAGAGCTCTGCTGAAGTACAGGGAGCCTTGGTGGATGGTACAGAAGGGACCGCAAGACCGCGCCCCGAGAAAGTCATGCGCTACGTGCAACTTAGTCTTCTACTTTTGGAAAGTGGCAGGTGCAGTCAGAAGCAAATGCAGATTGTGGCAGGGGGGTTGGTCTACATAGCCATGTTTCGACGGGCACTGCTGGGCACGCTCAATGCAATTTGGGAGTTCATCCAAAGTTTCGACGGGCAAGGGCCCCACTTTAGACCCCTGCCTCAACCGGTCCGACGGGAGATAGCGCGATTCTGTCTCCTGGTACCGCTGGCTCGGATGGACTTTCGGCTGCCGTTCTCACCTACCGTCACAGCCAGTGATGCATCAACTACAGGAGGAGGAATCACCGCTTCGTCCAGATTGACCCCGTTGGGATGCATGGCCGCCAACTGTGAAGTGCGTGGAGACGTGGTTGAACCCAGCGACCTTCCTCAAGTGCTCACAATCGGGTTGTTCGACGGGTTGGGAGCCTTACGGGTAGCTGCGGACGTGATCGGATTGCCGGTAATCGGCCACATTAGTGTCGAAAAGCATGGGCCCGCAAGGCGAGTGGTCGAAAGCCATTTTCCGCAAACATTATTCGTTGAAGACGTTGAGCTGGTGGATGAGGACATGGTACAGTCTTGGGCATGCCAGTTTTCACAAGTGGCCCTGGTGGTCTTGGGGGCCGGGCCGCCTTGTCAAGGCGTTTCAGGGCTCAATGCAGACCGCAGAGGGGCTCTGCGAGACCACCGAAGCTGCTTGTACCAGTATGTTGACTTCGTCCACTCCCTCCTCAGGAAGCATTTTAAGTGGGCACAGGTGCACAGGCTGATGGAATCAGTCGCCTCCATGGATGAAAGTGACCGTAGGATCATGAGCGAGTCCGTGGGGTCCACACCTTTCCTGATAGATCCTGTACACCTTTGTGGAGCTCGGCGACCTCGTCTATTCTGGCCGTCTTGGGAGTTGGTGCCTGGTGAAGGGGTAACCATCTCCTCGGCAACAGGAGAGTCTTGGAGCACTTTGCAGACCGTGACCCTTGAGGTAGACTATGACTGTACTCGTTTCCTGTCAGATGGCTGGGAGAAAGTTTCCAATGAACCTTATCCAACATTCACTACCTCACGGCCAAGCCTAACTCCTGGCAGACGCCCTGCCGGTCTTCAGCAATGTGGAGAAGAGGTGCTTAGGGACTGGGGCAGTGACTTGCATCGTTTCCCACCATACCAATACCTTCATAAATTTCGAGTGCAAGACAAACATGGCAACACCCGCTTGTTGAATTGTGAAGAGCGAGAAGTTCTGATGGGTTTCCCACGCGGCTACACTGTTCAATGCTACCCGAAGCAAGAGCAGAACACACAGGCTTGGCAAGATGAGCGGCTCACCCTCGTTGGAAACAGCTGGAACGTCTTCGTGGTAGCATGGTTGTTGACTCAGCTCTCCTTGGTTCTAGGCGTAGGTCCGCGTCTGAGCCTTCGGGAGGTGGTAGAACAGTGCGCCCCAGGCGGAGGACGCACCCTACAGAGTTTTCTCCTCCGACCGTTCATGCGACCACCGCGAAAAGCTGAACCTTCGTTTTTGGACACCCAACTGGTGCAGAAGATTGCAGGGCTGACCAGTCTGAAGGGAGAAGATGTTCTCCTGCAGGCGCAAAGTGAAGATCCTGTCCGGTATCATCGCCTTCGAGCCAGTTTACCTGCTGGATTATGGAAGTGGAGGACCATTTGCGGATGGCAATGGCGGGGCACTAAAGAGCACATCAACGTACTTGAACTACGAGCTGTGCTAACAACGCTTCGCTGGCGCATCGCAAAGAAGGGTTGGCTTCAAGAACGATGGCTTCATCTCGTAGATTCCCTTGTGTGTCTCCACTGTTTGGCACGGGGGAGATCCAGCAGCCGCAAGCTCCGAAGAACTCTGCTCCGAATAAACGCGCTTCTCCTAGCCTCCGGAACGCAAGGCCTGTGGGCATATGTCCACACGGCACAAAACCCCGCGGACGCCCCCAGCAGGCGTCCTGTTCGAAAGAAATGGCTAAAGTAAAACGGCCAATGTTAGAAGGAGGCTCACGGGAGGAGCGTAAGAAGCAGAGAGCAGAAATGGGAAGTTTGCATTCACTCACCGTGCAACCGCGCACTAGGGAACGATACAACAGAGCACTAGAAGGTTTTTGGGCATTCCTCCGAGATGAAGGCCGAGCAGTGCCATACAATCACGCCGACCTTGACCTGTTACTTCAGCAGTACATAGAACATCTATGGACAGAAGGATTTGGACGTGCACAAGCAAGTGATACCGTTGCCGCACTTCAAGACGCTCAACCGCAAGTCAAAGGGCATCTTCGCGGCACCTGGAGGCTCCTCAAGGCCTGGAGCATGAACGAAATACCGAATCGGGCGCCACCACTACCGGAGGAGGCACTTCAGATGATGGTAGGACATGCCTTCTTCAAAGAGCAGTATAAATTTGGCTTGTCCCTCCTCGTGGGGTTCTACGGGACCCTGCGCACGGGAGAGATACTCAGTCTCTGTTCTTCTGACGTTAGCATACATGCCGTACAAGGACCTGCTGTTCTTTCCCTTGGCCTTACCAAAGCTGGCAAACGACAAGGAGCCTCAGAAAGTGTCACCTTGACTGTAGAGGAACCCCTTCGGTGGCTGCATGCTTGGAGCCAACAATGTGAGGTTCGTAGCCAGCTTTGCCCGTCTCCCGCCAAGTGGCGTCAACTCTTTAATGAGGCTGTCATGGCTCTGGGTTTTGAAGAGTTGGGCTTTCGCCCTTACTCCCTCCGCAGAGGGGGAGCCACGTTTTTCTTTCAAAAATGGGGAAGTTTAGACCGACTTTTGGTCTATGGTAGGTGGCAGGCTGCTAAAACAGCCCGCACATACGTCAATAGTGGACTTGCTGCACTGGCAGAGATGAACCTGCCGCGCACGACAGCTAACAAGCAATTTAGTGCAATCTTTTTGAATTCCTACCCCGAGAGGGGGTAGGGCAGGGGGCGGTGGAAAGAAGAGTAAACGGAAAGAGAAAGAGAGAAAAGATCGTGAGGTGCGATCGCGAATTTTTTAAACCCAGTCATGAGGTCTGTTTATTTCCCCGGTGTGGCGGGGAGAGACAGACGTGGCTGAGATTTTTTTATGCCTCTTGGGCTAAAGTCCTTTCCTGGTGTGGCGGAACAGGGCTTTAGGGGAGGCAAAGGATCCGGGAGTGATCCGAACCGTTCTTTTTTGAGTATTCTTTCCATTAAATTCTTGACACATTGGGTCTTGCGAAGAAAAGGGGCTGGACATATATATTTCTTTTTTGTATATGGGTAGAGTGGACAAGGAGGAGCTGGAAGTGGTGAAGTGGATATGGCCGGCAGTCGAAAAAGAATGGAAATAGAAAGTAGAATACAGAGGTTTTGGATGGGTGCCCCTTAGCTTCTCGATGGGGGCCTCCAGCCAAAAAGTGTCTGAGAAAGTCGAAATTTGCTCGCTCCGGCCGTCCTCGGTGACTGTAGCTCCAAAACCCCTTCATGTTGAGATATTCTATAGGTGGCACAGGCCTGTGGCCCTCACTATACACTTAAACTGGCGAGTGGGGTGCCCTTTTCAGTCCAGCAACTGGACCTTACTACGGAGAAAAAAAAGGGCACCCCTAAGCTACGCAGGACCTTCCGCCGCCAACGCTTGCCCGCTGCACTTGCCCTCAACAACCCCACAATCTACATGAACTCTTACCACATGGGGAATGCCCTCTGTAATTCGGTTCTCTCGCAGGCCCTCAACAGATGTCATCGTGCACTCTCTTCTCTCTCCTGCCCTCCTTCAGTCCGACAGCAACGCTAAGCCGCTAAGCTTAGCCGCAACGACAATCTGTTTTTTTCCATGGCCTCCTGAGCCCCTCGTGATGCTGATGATGCACTCTTCGCCGTCAACTACATCACCGGCATCACAACACCTCAAACCACTCATTTTTCACACCCCCCACACCCCCTTTACTCACTTCGTTCGCTCAGCTACCTCTATCGGCTGGCTTTCGTGATTTAATTGGAATTTAATTCAAATTGAATCAAGAAGCTAAGGAAGAAAGACTGTTCGGCTCGTCCATCTCAAGCCGACTTGAAAGCGCATTGCCAAGAGTGAAAGAGAATGAACGCACGCGTACGTCGAAGATTTGCAAAAGGTGCGCGCCTTCTTGTTCACCAACTGCAGCAAGTCTTTGTCTTTGGACGCGATCTTTACAAATCTGTCCTCTGGCTGCGCTCGCCTCAGTTCGAGAACGTTCAAACGCAAGTTCTGCATGGTGACGCATGACCTTCTTTGGCTCTGACACACATGTTGCGATGAGATCATCTGCTTCGTGAGTCTCAGAACACATCCACCGGTAGCCCAATTCATTCAATGCCTGAACGGCAAACGAACGCCAAAAAGAGACAGAAAGAGTGTCTTTGGCCTTTGGCCTTTGCTTCGGCGGTTTTCGCACCTCTTTGGCCTTTGCGAATTGGATCCTCAAGTCATCGGGACCTAGTCATCACATGTCACGATTCGAGTCGAAAGTGTGGAAGCGTCACAGTGCCGTCTCCTAGGTCCACCCGGTTGGATCAGTCTAGCAAGGAAGCTAGCTTAGACTTGACTTGGTCCCTAGGCTGGGGAAGAGCATAATTTTTACAGCAAAGTACTTTGAAAAAGGCTCGCAATGTCGCTATAGTGCCTCCTTGGTTTCTTGCCCAAAACTCAGGCCATGGCAAAATCGATTTTGTTTGTACCTCCAACAAGAGCAAAATCTTGCTGTTGGGATTTGCCACGTTTCAAAGTCAAAGACGTGAAAACCAAAATGGTGTTTGTTCACACATTGCGCTTCAAAAAGGGCAGTTACGCTGGCAAAGATCTTTTTCGTGCAGAAGACGCTGTGGCACTGTCCTTGTCATCCCCAGCGCCATGTCTTGCTTCCAAGAGTTTTTGCCGAAAAAGGAGCTCGTAGAAATGTTGCACTAAATCGCAGAAGCTACTAGGTGGAGGCCATCGCAAGTAGGTTGGAGTCCATCGCTACTAGTAACAACAAAGTGTTCTTTTTATTGTAACAATTACACCACCGTAGACCCCAAACAGCTTGTGTTTTCAAAATCGGAACACTCTGCAACTAGAGCTTGCGACGTCCAGAGCTGGGAGACAGGGATTGCAAGGCAGAGGCGGCCACAGCAGTCCAGAGCTGGGAGACAAATGTAGACACAGAGGGAAACAAATGTAAAGGCAGGATTGCAAGCGACATGCAGCCCAGAGCTGGGTGACAAATAAAGGATTGCAAGGCAGAGGCGGACACAGCAGCCCAGCGCTGGGAGACAAATGTAAAGGATTGCAAGGCAGAGGCGGACACCGCAGCCCAGAGCTGGGAGACAAATGTGAAGGATTGCAAGGCAGAGGCGAACACCGCAGCCCAGAGCTGGGAGACAAATGTGAAGGATTGCAAGGCAGAGGCGGACACAGCACTCCAGAGCTGGGAGACAAATGTAGACAGAGGGAGGCACATGTAAAGGCTTGCAATGCAGAGGCGGACACAGCAGTCCAGAGCTGGGAGACAAATGTGAAGGGTTGCAAGCGAGAGGGGGGACATGTAAAGGAAAGAAGGAAGACAAGGCGGACACAATGACCAACAAGAAGGGGGACAACAAGGGAGACAAGAAGGGAGACAAAAGGAAACACAAGGGAGACAAGACGGACACAATGATCAACAAGAAGGGAGACAAGAAGGGAGATAAAAGGAAACAGAAGGGAGACAAGACGGACACAATGACCCACAAGAAGGGAGACAAGACCGGAGACAAACGGGGGACACAGTGACCAACAAGAACGGAGACCAAGGGAGACAAGCCAGACGGAAGGCGGACACGCTGTCCGGCAGCAAGGCGGACACTTTTGGAAAGCATTTAGAACCCTTAACAGTAACCTGTTTGGGGAAGTGCAGAAATCACCTGGGAGACAAATATGAATAGAAATGCTGGAGAGGGGAAAAGGGCGGATGCCAGCAGTGCAGGCACCGAACCTGGAAAACAAAAGCGAACAAACCACATGGGAAACAAATGAATAGAAATGCTGCATGGCCAGCGGAAAAGGGCAGACACCAGCAGCGCAGGCAGCGAACCTGAGAGACAAAAGTAAAGAAATCACTTTAAAGACAAACGAATAAAAAAAAAACATCTTAAGTTGAGAAACCCTACGTAACGGCAAACTATGTGGGGAATGAAAAGAAATGTTGCATCGCGAGCGGAAAAGGGCGGACACCAGCAGTGACACACCTCACAGACAAATGAATAGAAACGCTGCATGGCCAGCGGAAAAGGGCGGACACCACCAGTGACAGACCTGGGAGACAAGTGAATAGAAATGTTGCAAATGAATGGAAATGCTACATGGCCAGCCGAAAAGGGCGGACACCAGCAGCAACAGACCTGGGAGACAAATGAATAGAAACGGTACATGGCCAGCGGAAAAGGTGACAGGCCTGGGAGACAAATGACTAGAAACGCTGCATGGCCAGCGGGAAAGGGCGAACACCAGCAGTGACACAAAGGGCGGACACATCTTAAGAAAGAATTGAGAACCCCTAACAGTAAACTGTTTGGGGAATAAAGATTTTGTGAATCTTTTGTGTTTATTGATGTCACACTAAGTCGCAGGCAAACAGCACCGCCATGTGCGATGGGTCGGTCACCGTAGAGATCCTCGAAGGATCTGGATGCTTCTCATGTCCAAAAGTTGAACCGAACTCGAGTCACCTCACGTCTCAAATGAAGCGTTCCGAGCGTTCCTCTCCAGTTGCAATAGGAAATTGTGCAATGCACCAGTTGGCTCGCCTCGGATTTACTTTCTCTCAACGAACACTTTGCGTCTCCCGAGTCTCGTCCCCTCTTGGTAGGGGACGAGACAAAATCGGAAAATTGTTTTTCAAAAAACACATTCCGTTTTCGACTTCCGAACTGGGTTCCTTCCTTTCAGTCTTGCCGATCTGGAGGTCCCCGCCCAACCTGTTTGTTAGTGGCGGCATGGCGTAGTAGCCCTGCAAATCAATATTTTGCCCTTCTGTTAAAAGCCCCACCAAGCCTTGCGGCCTTGTTTCACCCTGCCTGGTACAGAAGAAAACTACCTGAGCACAGGATATTTGGGGATATAATGAAAATATCAAATAAGTGGAAGAGGTTGTTGTCCAGCCGCCGTCCACCAACGTGATCAGATTTGTCTTGGATTCCTCGCTTCAAAAATGGGTATTAAACACCGAAGTTATTGCGCAATCACAAACGTGGAGTCGTGAATCAAGTTTTGCTTTAAAAAACGCGCTATTCGCGCTTCATCCTGCATCACAATTTGCGAGAATCGCCGGAGGCATCTTCGGCGTGCTTTCCACACACCAACCTGCAACAGACTTTCCATTCCACACACACACACCCAAAGTCTGTTTGTTTCTGTTGTCACTGAGGCCCCTGCCATCAATGCTAGCAGTGTGTGAGCAGGCTTGGGGGCCCTGGCACACAGGAATAAAACCAGCTCTGAGAAAATAGAAGTTTCAATCGCGCCCACACTCCAAATCGTGTTCTGGCGTACACCATAGACATCTGGCAGCGACCCCAGCATCCAAGCTCCAAAGCAAAACTGTTTCGTAGCACGTTGTTTTGGGCCATGCGCTTGAGCCGGCATACATATTGAACCTGAACTACCAGCATGCCATACTATACACGTGTAAAATGTGTTTACACTCCGCCTCGAAATGAAGCGTATTCTGAGCTGAAGTTTGCTCTCTTTCAAGTGGATAGAATCCGCATCGGGTATGCGGCACTGAATTAGGTCTTCCATCCACTCTTCCTTGGACTATCTCCATAGCCCTCGCTCCGGCAATCGGAATGCGATACACGGCTGTATGCTCACGCACATTCCACAATTTGCCCGTTCCACTGAAGCTGCTGTAAATTGAAAAATCAGGTTTTCACACTTGCCCGGCTGCCCGGTTCAGCTGTTGCAGGACAATTGCATCTTCACTCTCGCTACTGAAATGATGCCAGCAGCGCCAAAGCTCATCCGACACGTCCTGCAAACTTTGTCGCCTCTGACTCTTCACTTTTGCTCTCAGGATTCACCTGAACCCTCGGAATGGCTTGTGGTGCAGGTTGCTCTCCCAGGCTGCTGCTCACTCCCGGTTCACACCCAGGTATCAACAAAATCACAGCGCGCTGCGCCAGCTTGTTCGCTGTCGCTGGTTCTTGCTCCGACGCGCAATTTTCCTCACACGCCGTTTCCATGTTTCAGCGGTCAAAATAACCAAGTACTCCTGTTCTCCAACATGTTCTGTCAATTTGTTGGGCTCATCAACACGTACTGCGCCAAGGAATGCAAAATGAAATTCCTCCTGACTTGACCGAGCTTCCGCAAAGTCTGACCAATTGTTTTTTCTTCCAGTGGGAAGGACGCTGAACAACCTCTTTCTCAAGGCTGACTGCAACCAGCAAAGCCTTACGTCCATCCCAATCCTGTTCTCTGTAACCAACGCCGAGCCGAACTGCTGTCTGATCACGCTTCAATGCCACACAACTGCAAAGTCATAAGAGTCCACACTGCCTTCAAAAGGGACGGCTCACACTCACTGCTTTCTACATCATGGTTAAATTTTTCCTTCCCACGATTATAACGCTGTCCGCTTCTGAGTTCCACTACATGACACGCGTAACAATCCGTTCATCATGATCATCACCGATGTTGTTGACCCTTTTGGGCCGTACTTTCAACGAATGCACTTGCGACGTGTGACTCCTTGTGCTCATTCACACAGCGCAATCGATGGGCCATCTTTGTTCAAATTTGGCTGTACGTCATGCGAAAAGCGAAATCCCGCGCCCCAGACACATACAAACTCAACTGCGCAAGGCCTCTTCAGCTTGGACTGTTGGCGACTTCATGAACTATACAGCGACTTGACGCAAAACTGAATGTCAACTCTGTCGAACCAAGTATATAGCAGTACCCAGCCCGCTTCTGGACTGTGGTTGTCTTGCACTGTCCAAATCCACTGAAGCACCAGCCTGATTCAGTGAGCTGTGTTCTGGCGCCCGTTTCTTTCTCCCTCGCAGTCCACGCAAATGCGCATTGGGTTTGGTTTGACGTATATCCCGTCTTCCTCTTCAGATAGCTAGCTCACTTCTTCTCCAAGTCTATTTAGGGTAGGGTTCTTCAACTTGCAGTTTGTACATTTGTTTTTGCTCCTCGATCAACCAAACAGAGTCCTCTGCTGCCTCATTCGCAATGAGTTTATCATCCACATGGACATTCGTGCGTGAACTTAACCACCGTTGAGCTCCATTCCGCTGACCTGGCGGCACTCTTTTCAACACCATAGGGCGCCCTCTGTCAATCCTAGAAGCTTTGGGATCCATGGGGGAATAGCCTTGTGGCACGCCGGCTTCAGCCTCGATGGTTTTTGCATTGTGGTCCACTTTTTGGCCTCTCCACTTGGACGCAAGGGGTATCTTTCTGAGCCCTCTGGGTGGCTCCGCTGCCGTGAGCTCACAGAAGCGCAGCCGCAGGACTTTTCCTCACGCCAGACTTCTGCGCTTGATTTAAAGTCTTTATGACTGGTGAGAATTTGCCCTGGACAGTTAGAACGCAACATGCGTCCGGACCTGACTGGGGTAGATGACACACTTAGAATGAGAGCTCAAGTGAATGGGCAAAACTTCAGACAATGATTCACAACATTAGTTACTGCATTGCCAATGTAAAGCGCGGAAAAGCGACTGTCACAGCCCTCTTCGTTTGGCAATCGACCGCGAAGTGGGATTGCCCCGTGCGATTCTGTTGTTGAAATTGTTTAAAAGTCCCTTAGAGACAGGGTGTGACACACACACAGACACACACTCGAGATATTGCGTAGGCGACCCAAGTAACCAGTTTCCTGAGAAAACAGGTTGGAGGCTATCGCTCTAAGGTTGGAGGCCATCGCACCTAGGTTGGAGGCCACCACTCTTGAGTTGGAGGTCATCGCATTTAGGTTGAAGGCCATCACAAGTAGGTTGACTGTCGTACACAAACAATTGCCATCCGCTTGTAGGTTAACTGCACACAAGCTAAACATTTTAACACATAAGCAAGTCAAGTGGAAGTAGGCTAACTGCATATAAACTGAACAAAAAACCACACGCAGGTGCAAGTAGGTTGACTGCACGCAAACTGAACAATTAACACACAAGCAAAACTGCAAACCTGAAAACCTAAACAGCCTTGTACCTCTACGACGCTACGAGTGGTCGGTGGTTACAACATGCACGAAACAATGCAGGTACGTGGGACTGGCCAGGTCCCACATCCCGCGATATCACCCAGCTTCGTTGGTCAAGGTTGGTGATATCGCGCCTTGCCCCCCTGCATGGTTACACCAACACCTGTGATTCCAAGGTATCCACACAGGAGGCGTATGCGCAGCCTCCATCCTGCCCGGGCTTAAGATACTGCGCGCCGAATCGAATGGCCACCTAGGTGAAAAAAGGGCCTGAGGAACGGGAAAAGTAGGTTGGAGGTCCTCGCTCTTAGGTTGGGGGCCATGGCAAAGCATGCAACTGCAAACCATTCAAGGTTGGAGGCCATCGCTAGTAGGTGGAGGCCATCGCAACCAGGTTGAAGGCCATCACTACAGGTTTGGAGGCCCAAAGGACACAAGCAAAACTGCAAACCTGAGGGCCTATAACAACATCAGGTACATGAACCACCATAAAACAAACCAGGGGATCACAGCAACCAATCAACAGTTTACACCTCCCTGGCGCGCGGTCTTCGTTGGCCAGGGGGCGAACCAGGGAGTCTGCTTATGGAAACCGACAGGTTCCCTGTGATTCCAAGGTCTCCACACACTCATGGATATGCGTACTGACTTGACAGCGGTGCCACACGCCGGCCTAGGGTTCCAATTCCTAAGGGTACAGGTAAGGAGACCTAGAAAGGAAGTAGAGGTCCATCTAGCGGAGGTCCCGAAGGTTGCAGGTGGCCAGCAGCTCCAAAAGAAAACACCGATCGAGCGAACGACAAGGTGACGACGTAGCGTGCACATCTGCAGAACTCACTAGCACTTGACCAGAAAATTGGAGTAACAGCTTGTAAACACCATAACCATGCAGGTACGTCGGAGTGATCAGCTCCGATATCCTCCCAACTCATGAGCAGCTTCGTTGGCAGTAGACTCATGAGTGGGCTACTGCCCCCTGCTGAAAAGCTCAAAACACCAAAAGCGAGAACAATCCGAAAGGATCCCTGGAATTCCAAGGGTTACACACACACTCGAGATATTGCGGCTTCACAACCTTCTGCGCAAGTACGCGGAGTGGACCAGACTCGGTATCCCATGGTTGCGGCAGCTTCGTTGAGCGCGGTCCCGCAATCATGCGCACTCCCCTGCTAAAACAAATTCAAAGGAATCCCTGTGACTCCAAGGGGTTCACACACACACACTTATTGACATGCTCGCCACACGGCAGCATAGGTAACCATATCCTGAAAAGTCAGGTAAGGGGGGCCTGAGCACCTTTAGTTAAAGGCCAGAAATCCAACTCCACGAGATGACGCGCAGGTCGAAGTGACGGCGATCGCTCTTGTCTGCAGAGCGCACTAATTAGCCCTTTTTGGAACATGAGAGTGACAGCTTGTGCGCCGCAACCAAGCAGGTACGTCCAGAAGGCATCCCTTCCGGATATCAGCCACACTTGCAGCCCTCTTCATTGGGCAATCAGCTGCAATGTGGGATTGCCCCCCTGCTGCGAATAAAACGAAAGTTCTCCAATCCAAAACGATCCCAAGACACTTATTGACATCCGTACGGATGTGATTCATGTGATTGCGGCTTGCCACACGTCAGCCTAAGTAAGCCGCCTAAGGGTCCTGGTTAAGCAAAAGAAACCTTCAAGAAAAATCCACCAAATCGAACAGCGGAACCGCGACAAAGTGACGACGTATCGCGCAGGTCTGCAGAACGCATAACCGATGCAATGGCTGGAAGTCTTGTTCTAGGTACAACGGGGCCCAAAAAAGAATGAGTGGCGATCATCTTCTCGCAAGTACGCGCAATCTGCGTCCAGATTACATATCACTGCAAACTTGAAGTGTCTTCGTTGAGCGGTGACTTCAAGAATGCCCACCGCTCCTGCTTTAACCAGGCAAAAACAAAGCGATACAATCCGAATGGATCAGTGTGACTCCAAGGGTTACGCGCGCGCGACATACGCCGCGAAGTTCAGGCCTTATGCTCCAGCTGCGTTTGCTCCAGCTCACGTCGTTCCAGTTGGAACTCTGGACGGAGCGCGGAGTCGGGCTCGCCTCACAATCGCAGGAAGCGTCGCAGGCGTCGCAGGAAGCGGCTGAAGTGTTTGCTGAAGTTTTAGGAAGGACTAACACTAAGTATTGCTAATTGAGGAACAACAGAAACCAAATCAAACAAATATCCTAACGAAAAAGCGTTTAAGGAAGAAAAGAACCCTCAATAATGTGTCTCTTTCCAGTCTCAACAATCTCCTTTCCCAGTTCTTTCTCCACTAGACCTACCACTCTTGACAAGGCCTGGCGAGGACTCATTCTAATTGCTTGAGTCAGACTCTGAGCTGATCCCTTATGGCATAATCCAAACGAAATTCAAAGATAGTCTGCAGGTGCAGTTGAGCTCAGGTGTGTGGTGTACAAAATATACAAACGAGTTCAACTTCCTGTTCTTCGCAATTGACGTTCCTGTTGTCCTAGGTCCGAACACACCTTCTGTTCAACAGAATGAGGAGGAAGCTGCAAAATACGGGTAATCAGGGCCCAACTAGCAGTTCCTTTGGAACAAAAGTAGCTCAAAACGAACTTAAGTTTCCCTAACAATCTACAAACCAAATGAATAGCGTGAGCTATCCTGCGTCCAGTCGCTAGTACTAGTAAAGAACTAGCTACCGTTTGCGTCTACTAGCTACCTCTAGCTCCTACCTCCCTCTACGGCCTACCCTCGCCGGGAGTTTCTTATTTAAACTTAATTCTTGCAAACATTGTTACTACTAGTGAGGCACCTGTTACTACTAGTAAGGCACTTGTTACTACTAGCTTCTTGTTACTACTAGTAAGGCGCCCGTTACTACTAGTAGGGCACCTGTTTCTACTAGTAAGGCACCTGTTACTACTAGTAAGGCACTTGTTACTACTAGCTTCTTGTTACTACTAGTAAGGCACCTGTTACTACTAGTA